TTAAAATGTAGTAAGTAACACTGATTTAGAATTTTAAAATGTTAAGATATTTTTTTTGAAATTCTTCCTAAAAAATTATTATTTAAAACTAGCAATATTATAATTAAAAGAAGAGTAGTTTATAAAAGTTAAAAAACTAAACTAAATCATTATCTAGAATGATGAATATCTGTCTTGGCTGTTTACTTTTCTAAGAGGAAGGGAAGAGAATGAGAATCCGTGCAAGTTAAGGTGGAGGCAGGTAAAAGGAGGATGGGGGATGGGCCCCACATCGGGGCAGGAAAGCCCCTCGACAACTCCATCATCTGCCCACGCACACGTGCACCCTTCTTTGTTCCTTTCTCTCTCCTTGCATCTCCAATCCCCAGCCTCGAGGGCACTTACGTCATATCCTACTATTTTAATTTTCCCATTACCACTTCTTCATTAACATAAATCTCAACCCCTCCCCCTCAAATGCCTCAAGTCTTCGCCGTGTTTGACCTCCACTCCTCCGTTCCCCCTACCAATACAGCGCCCCCTTCTTCCGCTGTTCTGATTCCCCCCCCCCCCTCTCTCTCTCTCTCAATCCCTCAAATAGCTACTCTCTTCATTTTATAATCTATACATACACATACTCTTCACTTCGTTCTCATTCTTTCCCCCTACCAAATCCTCCTTCTCTGCTTCCTTGCTCTTCAATCTTCTTTCTCCTTTTCTGTTTCGATTTGTTTTCTGCTGTTTTCCCCATTTTGATCTCGCCAAGCAGACCAGAAACCCGCCGATATGAGACGCGTTAACGGGGATTATCGACCCGTTAACAATACTTTTGATACTATAAACGCTGCTGCCACTGCGATCGCCGCTGCCGATAATCGCCTTCCTCGGCCATCTGTCCAGGTTTAATCTCGTCTCTCTCTCTCTCTCTCTTGTTTTTTATTTGGTTCCGTACGAGGATGCTCAAAAGTTATGACTGATGATCATTTAGATGTTTATGACCTGTATGTTCTCTTGGTTTCCTTTTTCTTTTTTTTTTTTTGTTTTGATTCTGGACGCGGTACCATTTGGTTGAGCACTTGAGCTCCCACTTTCCATCTCTTTTCCGAAAAGAGGCCTTTCTGTTTTCTTTTTCTTGATTTTTTCTTGGGGCTGAGGCGGGGGATGATAAAAGTACTTAACTTTACTTTTTCAAAAGAAAGCTAGTTCCTGAAAGATTAATAACTTACCTATGTGTGAGAATTCTCCTGCATCATCTCCTCTCTAGCTCCTCAAATGATAAAGCGTGTGGCATCAAACTCATCGGTTCTCACGCTGCTTTTGCTTTTATCTGCATCACTTACTTTTCGCTGATATTCATAAAGTGGACCGAGGACATAGATCTTTTTTTTTTTTTTAATTTTTTGGTTCGAGTTTTCCGAGTTTTTCTCTGGTGAAGACCGGAGACAGAGTCACTTGCTTGAGATTTTGCACCGTTTGCTCCGCGTTAGAGAACTACTGGGCTTTTATTGGACTTGAGGTTTTCTCGTTTTATAATATGGAATGATTTTATTAATTCAGTGGATAATATAATAAGGTATAAGATATAGATTGTACATTTCTACGTCATCTTTCCTTATTATCCTGAAATTGCTGTATTTCGTTAGATGAAAGTTCGAACACATTTTGTTTTTAATGACAATGAGCATGTATATCCCACATATTCTGTATTTCTTCATCATTTACGATCTCGCTTGTGAATAATCTGAAGACGGCATACCAAATTTTTAATCACTGCAACTAGTAACTACCAAGTGGAGGAAGGAAACTGGTTGTATCTTTAGGAATCTCTAGGTTCCTTACCAGAATCAATTTCCAAAAAGGGGTGATTTTGATCAATGTGATTTTAGATACTGGATGTTGTGTGGCTAAATATTTTGAATATGATCTGAAGCTCTTGAGTCCATATTGTTTGTATCTATCTGTAATGGGTCAGGTCAAAAAAAAAAATCTGTAATGGGTACTGCAGGGAACATTCTCTGATGGTCTTTTCTAAATCAGTATTTGTTTCCTGCAGAAGAAAAGATGGGGAGGCTGCTTGGGCATATCTCTGTGTTTTGGATTTTCGAAAAACCGAAAGCGAATAGGGCATGCTGCCCTTGTTCCTGAAACAACACCTCCAGCTGCTGCTGGTAGCGGCGGCGGTGCTCCTGCAACTACAGCTGCAAATTCAACCCAAACAACCAGTGTAGCACTTCCCTTCATTGCACCTCCTTCATCTCCTGCATCTTTCCTTCAATCAGAACCTCCTTCCGCAATGCAGTCACCGGTTGGTACAGTATCATTCACTCCCGTATCTGCTAGTATGTACTCTCCAAGTGGCCCTGCCTCTATATTTGCAATTGGCCCTTATGCCCATGAAACCCAATTAGTTTCACCTCCTGTTTTCTCCACCTTTACCACTGAACCATCAACTGCTCCTTTGACTCCACCGCCTGAGTCTGTCCACTTGACTACACCTTCTTCGCCGGAGGTGCCATTCGCTCGGCTGCTTGACCCTAACCTCAGGAATGGTGAGACTTTCCAGAAGTTCCAAATATCTAACTATGACTTCCACTCTTATCAGCTTCATCCTGGTAGCCCAATTGGTCAGCTCATATCTCCAAGATCTGGCATCTCAGCTTCTGGCACCTCATCTCCTTTCCCTGATTCTGAATTAACTGCAGCTGGCAGGCATACCCTTGACTTCCAGACAGGAGACCCTTCCAAGCTTCTAAATTATGATAAATTTTCCACTTCTGAAAACCAGAGATCATATCAGGGTTCTGGATCTCTAACCCCAGATGCTGCAAAGTCCACAACTCAAGATAGTTCCCTTGCACATCATCAGGTTTCTGAGAAGAGAATGTCCCCAGGCATCCCAAATCGAAGCAGTAATCGTCTGAATGTAAACCATAGAGTCTCATTTGAATTAGCTGCTCAAGAATTATTGAGATGCTTCGAGAACAAACCAGTGGTATTAGCTAGAGCAGTACCGAAATCGAAAAATGATGCGGCAAGAGAAGAGAAAGATGAGAATTCAAGAGAAACTGGGAGTGATGACAAAATCCTTGTTGCTGAAACTGCTGATGATGCGCAGGGGAAAATCACAGGGAATGGAGACGAGGACGTGGTTAATCAGAATCCTCCATCCGTAACCCTTTCTTCTGCCAAGGAATTCAATTTTGACAATGCAGACGGAGGGGATTCTCATGCACCCAATTTAGTCGCAGATTGGTGGGCCAATGAGAAAGTTATGGGAAAGGAGGGAGAACCCTCCAAGAATTGGTCTTTCTTCCCAATGATTCAACCTGGTGTGAGCTAACCAACAAGAACACACACATTAAATCTGGCATAGTGTTTTAGTTTCGCTGCCTTGCTGCGTGGCCGCAGCCAACACCTACTAAGATGAATCATAGGCCACTAATTGCTTTTAGCTGGGAAGTCTAACACAAGAATGATGGGGCTCTTTTTTGAACCTCGTGGCCCCTGAAGAGGTAAGATAGTTTCAGATGGATCATGTTAGTTCAGAGTTCTTTCCTAATCTGGGTTAGAAATGCTTATCCTTTCCACATTGTATTATAATGGACAGTGTGGCAGTGATTATAAATAATGAAAATCGATGATCATGATCATTTTGACTATGACGTGAACACGCAAATGTATGTATCTGGGTTTGGTTCTCTCTGCACCGATTTTGTGGCAGAGCTCTCAGTGATTGGGTGGATTTGATCAACGTTCATGAAGCTTTGCCATTCAGCTGGGGGCGGCAACTAAATCAAGCTCAAAGATTTCGCATTAAACATACTATTACTCTATTATAAGTGGTTATTATAGTATGCCCGCCTGATCCATCAAGCATTGGATTTCCTTGGCGCCGAAAATAGTCCAACGGGGCCGACTTCCTGTATAGAAATGGTGGTTTGTGCCTTCATGGTTGTACCCCTCTGCCTCGAGGTACAGAGTCCCACGTGTTGATTTCTGCCCTCGTGCTGCTTCAGTCTTTCAGATTAATTAATGAATGTTCAATCTGCTATGCTATCTATATGAGTATGAGCTGTACGTTTTGCCGATTCGGGATTTGGAGAGGGTGCAGAGGAGAATCACCTTCTTCTTAAAAACTTCTTCTTCTTCTTCTTTAAATTGGAGAAACTACTGAGTGAAGTACACACACACTGTATATATATGGGATTTTCTTTTTGGAGGGTGAGACGATGAATTTTGAAACGTAATGTTTTCTAAAGAAAAATGTGCTGTTAAAAAATGGGTGAACTTTTGTAATCGTATGAGATCGATTTATTCTGTTTTCTGTGGACGCTTAGGTCGATTTTATCTACGCGTACATGCTTCATCGGAAATTAATGAAAATGAAAGAGTTAGAAACTGCTGATCACTGTGCACTGTTGTTACTATTTCTAAAAAATGATGAATTAAAAGTGCATGTAGCAGTTTGAAGTATTTTTTAAGATGCATTAAATACTTTGAAGTATTTTGTAATACTTGTAACATCTCAAAGTTTTTTTAGGTACATTTAGCACTTTAAGGATTTTTTTGTTCTGGATACACAAAAAAAATATTTTTAAATGCTGGATATATCAAAAAATATTTCAAGATATTAGACACATTTTAAAAAAAATGTTTTAAAATATTAGATGTATTATAAAATATTTTAATATGCTAAATATGTACACACAAAAGCACCCTAAAATATTTTGAAGTGTTTGTGCATGTTAACCCAAAAATTATTCAACTTGTCTAACCTTGAGACATCCATAATTATGAGGCAAAGTTGCGCTTAAAATAAATCACACGAGCATTTTACTTTTATCGAGTATATACTCCCATGTGACGGGATGTATTGGAGAACACCGAACGCCAGATTATTCAAATTGCGTAGCTTCGAGACAACCCTAATCGTCAATACTCCGCAGTCAGCCAGATTTTACCCAGAAAAGAATTTGGTCCCACCTGGAGGGCTAACTCAAATTCAGTCAGACGAGACCACCGAGATTTTGATTTTTTAATATCCAACTCGAGGGCGACGCCAGCCAATGCCTTCCCTTGTGTAGAGATTCATTATCCCCAGAACTTATTCGTCGTCAAAGTACTTTAGCCGCTTGCTATCCAAGGGAGCTTTGCATCTTCGTCTCTGAGTATCTCCAATCTCTTTAGATTCCGAAGATAAAGGGACTGGAAGAGCGTCTTGCACTTGCTGCTCCGCGAATATGCCGCCTTCTTCAGTTTCTAATTTCGATGAAGGTCCTCTTCCTAAATCTGACTCCAACATAGTCACCATTAATGTAGGTGGCCAATTCTTTCAAACCACAAAGCAGACTCTCAATTCTGCTGGCCCCAAGTCCTTGTTCGCCAAAATCGCCGAATTTCAATCCCCTGACCCCTTCATCGACAGAGATCCTGAGTTGTTCGCCGTCCTCCTTTCCCTTCTCCGAACAGGTAATCTTCCTTCCAAAGCCAAGGCATACGATCTTCAAGATCTGATTTCTGAGTCTCAATTTTACGGCATCGAGCACACACTCAGGAACACCCTATCCGGCCCTTCTCAATTCGAGCCCTTCAACCTCCAGAAATCGATTATTTTACCTCTTAATGGACGAGATACCCCCTCCGCCATCGCCGCCTCAAGGTTCGGCTCAGTTCATGTGGCGCATGGCAGTAAGATAACATCCTTTGATTGGTCCCTTCGTCGCAAGTCCACTTTTTTGACTCAATTCATGGCCGTCGATTCTCTATTAACCGTCTCCGATTCAGTGGTAGCTGCTGGTGCCCATGACTACTCGGGGTTGCAAATTATTGATTTGAAAAGGAAAGTAATCCAAACGGCCTTAGACTGGGAGAACGTGACCAGGTCTGGTTCAACAGTCCTAGCGATTGGATCTTCGCCGGAGCACCTATTTGCGAGTTTCGAATCAGGTCGACGCAATTCAAATGCTATAGTGGTATATGATTTAAATACTTTTAGCCCGGTTACAGAAATTGCTCACAATGAGATTTTTGGTGCCGATATCGATTCCGCGATCCCAGCAACGAAACTGAAATGGGCGTCGGGTTACAACTTGCTCATGGCATCTGGGTCCCATAGTGGTCCTTCCGGTGTATCTGGCAACATAAGATTATGGGATGTGAGGTCAGGGAGTGTTGTTTGGGAGATGAACGAGAAGATAGATTGTTTTGCCGATGTGACAGTTTCAGATAACTTGTCAGTAATCTTCAAGGTTGGGGTACATTCTGGGGAGGCATTTTTTGTGGATATGCGTAATTTGAGTTCTGGGAATTCCTGGGTTTGTCTTGGTGACAATAAAAAAGTGTTAAATGGGAAGAAGGAAGGCATAGGATGCAAGGTTGAAGATCAAGGGAATCAGGTTTTCTGCAGCAAGGGAGGAGACATAGAAATGTGGTCAGAGGTTATAATGGGCTCTGCAAAGAAAGGGGAGGATAAGTTAGATAATAGGATATTCAAGAAGAACTTGATGGGCAGAGTGAAAGACACTGGCGGTTCTAAGATCACTAATTTGGCCTTTGGAGGGAATAAGATGTTCTTGACGAGGAAGGATCAGCAATTTGTCGAGGTTTGGCAGAGTTCTACTGTGGAACTTTAATCTACTAGTGATAGGATTAATGGGTTAGCCTGTCGTAGTGTAAATATCGTTTCCTTTAGATGTCGCCCTGTATATATGTGTGCTTTTTCACCCTAGGTCCTTAAATACAGCCTTCTCTGAGTTATGAAATTGAATTGATTCATCTCAATCTTATTGTTGAAAATTGCATTCTCTTCAAAACCATGCTTTTTTTTTTTCTGTTTCAATTGAGATTATTTAGTTACCAATCAAATAATAATAATTTAGTTTACGAAGACTAGGAGGAAGTTTCACCTCTTAAAACAAGTGTTTTAAAGTTCAGTTCTAGTTTACGTACAAGAACAAATCTAATTATGAGTTTATCTTTTGCACTCAAATTTCTAAGGTCCATGGAGAGTATTTTTGGTGGGCAAAAAAGCAAAACATCAGCCAAATTGTCCTCTTATAAGTGGAGTCATAGATGGAAAGCAGAAGATAAGAATTTTGCCGTGAAAAAACAAGGGAATGTTTAAAAGTTTACTTGGTACGTTGTTTTTTTTTTTTTGGCCTGAGTTTACTTGGTACGTTGTAGTGAACGATAGTGGGTTTTGGGGGGCCGCATTAACCAGATGACGTGCCTTAGATGTCGCCCTGTGTATATGTGTGCGTCTTCACCCAGTTACTTAATTAGAGCCTTTTCTGAGCTATGAAATTGATTCACCTTAATCTTATTGTTGAAAATTGCATTCTTTTCAAAATCATGCCCCCCCCCCCCCCAAACAAATTGAGGTAACTCGGTTACCAATCAAAACATAATAACTAGTTTACCATGTTAACAAGACTAGCAGGAACTTTCATTTATTAAACAAGTTCAATTATGGTTTTTGCACATGAGCAAATCTCCTTATGAGTTTATCTTTTAATTTCAAATTTCTAAGAGCGATGGAGAATATTTTTGGTGGGCCAAAAAAAAAAAAAAGGATTTCTATTTTGTGGGAGCAAACAGTGGCCAAAGTGTCCTCTTACAAGTGAAGTGATAGGGGGGAAGCAGAGGATGAGAATTCTGCCATGGAAAAAAAGGGGAATGTTCAAAAGTTTAGGTTGTGGTGAATGGCAGATGCTTTTGGGGCCGCGTTAACGAGGTGAGTGACGTGGCTTCCAAGAATATAATTGGGAGACAGCCACGCATGCAAAAGCCCCTTATCCTGATGGAGAGACCTTGTCCTTCATTAGGGTTGGCCACCATCAAAGTGAACAGATAAGCGTACATACAAGTAACGATGCAAATGCAGCTGATTGATATATAAATGTTCAGGAGTGAACCCTACCTGGCTCCCCCTTTCAGATGTTATGTCTTCCTCACTCTACTTTCCCACTGAATGCAAACCTAGCCACACTTAAAAATGGCCTGCCCTGTTGCAACTCCTAATCATCCTCATACTGTCCTCACTAACTGACGTCTTCTGGTAGCTGCTATACCTAGTTCAAACAGTAAGTTCTATTATTCATGATTCAGAATTTGAACTTTTATAAGTTTTCTAAATACATGGAAATGAGAGGTACGTGGCCTATATTTACCTTCGTTATGTAAGGACTCAGATTGTGCTACGTTTTGATTGTGACCTATAGAGGAGGAGGGGAAATGTTAACCGTTGCTTATCCTTTCTTATGCAATTTTGATTGCGTGACGTATTCAATCTATTTTCATACTAAGGGAAGAATTATTCTCAGAACCCAAACAGACAACAAGCAAAAATAGCTCCCAAAACCTAACATTGGATGTTAGATAGTTCGCAATATTAATTAGAACAAACCCCATGAACTACATGATGGGTTTATCTTTCCAGGACTTAAGAAGAAGAAAATATCATGTCTTTAGTCAATTAAGTAGTTGTAGCCTGGTGCGGCATCTTTTTTCTTATATATGTGAACTTTTTCAATTTATTTTTGCCATTACTTTGCCATTATTTTAGGGTGCAATACTGCAATATAACAATGAAACGTCGCATCTGTTAGCTGCACAGCATGTGCTGAGCTTGATGAAAAAATGCCAACAATTACAAGTCCAAGCACAAGTCACATTGATTGAACCAAAAAAATTGTTGTGTTTGAGTAAATGATCTTCAGCTGGATCGCAGCAAACGAACAAGGACACGAAATATAGGTACAATAATGAAAGCCTCACTTGCCCCATAATTAATAATTAGCTAAATAGTGATATTTCACTGAATTTATCAAACAACTTGGTGGTTTCTTCTCTCCTACTTCCTAGTTAGCTAGCACCATAACATGCCATTAAGTTGCATCAATATATTAATTAATTGATTCAATTAATAAAAGCAATGTATGTGGACGACTAGCAATAGTTGGTACATCCGGTAATTCCAGTACAGAAACAAATATAGATGACGCAACGAGGTGATTCAAAACGTCAAGCCTTACCCAGTTATCTCTCTGTTTTTTTTTGCGCCACCTGAATTATCCAGTTACCTCAAAATGCCACAATTTGGATCAACAAGAATTGGTCTAGCTGGTAAGGAGTCAACTCATAACCTATAAGGTCGTGAATTCGCGTAAGTACTCTCTGAGTCTAGAGACATATCCTGGCCCTGGTAAGCCCTTGAGACTCATCTCACCTAAATTTTTTCTTACAAGAAGAAATGCGACAATTGGGAAGTTTGAAAATGGGACCCGACCGGTTTGTCAATATCTCCTTCGGTTCAATGAAGCCGCTCTCTCGTTTTTGAAACCAGAGGCCACTTTCTTTCTTTCACATTACACTTATCACGTGGCAATAACAAAAGAACCAATCTCCAGTTATTCCCTTTTCCTCTCTGCTGCGACTCAGGAAATCAAATCAAAACAAGCGACCCACTCGAAACGGCCATTCATTCTTTTCAGAAACAAGTGATGATTTCTAGATGGAACAAGGAGGGTACTTAGATTAACTTTTCAAAAATGATTTTATGAAATTCAAAGTAATTATGTAAAAGAAGTTTGTCAAAGACCTATACAAAAAAGCTTTTTTAAAGTGTCACTGAGAATTGCCAAAACACTTCCCAAGAATGTGATACGAGATCATTGTGGGGTATTTTAGCCGGCTGGATACACAATGCGCGTTCTACTTCACACAAAACACATCATTCCTTTCTCTCTCTCTCTTTTTTTTTTGGGGACCGACTTTGCTTCAATAATTCTCCGTCCTGTGTCAGTTCTGTCCACCTCCCGTAAGGGTACCTTCACTAGTTATGAATGCGACAGCCGCCGGGTCACTTCTGTATGACTTTAGATTAAAGTGAAAAGCACAATAATTTACTTAATGACAGCAAAGCCAAAAATGACTCAAAATAATTCAAGTTGGATGAATCAGGAGCTCTGGCATTGGCGTGCTGCATAAGTGCTTGTTCTGTCCAATTAATGTTGTTTTGTTGGGCATATATTTCTGGTACGAATACAATGACAAGTGCTGATGTGTGGGTGGCAGTGATTAATATAGGAAGGCGAAGGACAAAACGACGCCGTCAAAGCTGGTACTCCAAGGCCAAAAGCAAAATAAATGTGGATCCATGGGGAGGGGGGGGTCACTAAATTTCAGGTCAAATCAGGGGAGGCACCGAGTCTTTAATACGAGACGGAAAAGAAAGGAGCAAACAAAACTATTGACTTGGCCATGGCTAGCTTCGTGGGCACGTATATTCTCATAACATAACGAGTAATACACTTGTCATCCTTACGCAAAACAATCTCATTTTCACCTACTTTCCTTCAACTAATCTTGCGTCTTCATTGATTGCAGAAGAACCATAGTGTGGATTTGGAGCTGCAATTTTTTCACTTCCTGGTTGAGTTTGAATTTCGTTTTCCCACAGATTCAAAACAATTTCTTTGAATTAAATATTGCATGTGCTGCATCATTAACTGCTGGGTCTTTTTTTTTTTGCTTTTTCTTCAAGCCGTAAGAAACATCACACTGGGTCTGCTTGATGGAGGATTTCGTTCCGCCTTAATACACCCCCAACGACCTTGGTGGGCATTAATGAATAATGCCTTTAATTGGCTGTGCTGATCCAAATAAAGAAAAGAAAATGAGAGACTTTCAACTAGTAATTCATACTCCTTATTAAACGTCCCTCTCCTGTTCCCATGTCCTTCTATAAATCACTGACCTTTTCTCTCACTCACAGGTCACACGCCCTCCTCTTTTTCTCATAGTACTATAGCCACATCTTCCTCTTCTTCTTCTCCACCTCATTCCCTTTTATCCTTCGTCTTCCTTCTCCCTCTCATACACATTTTCTTCTCAAACCTTTGCTCTGTTTCTTGCGTTGAATACAGGGGAGGGTGGTATTATTGCGGGTGATTCTTGCGTCGGATCACATGGATGCGTCCACAGCTTTAATGATCCTATCCGCCGTAGCTGCTTATTTATTATGGTTCAGATTCTTATCGAGATCCCTGAATGGTCCACGTGTTTGGCCTCTATTGGGGAGCCTTCCCGGCCTCATCCAGCACACCAATCGCATGCATGAGTGGATCGCAGACAATCTCCGCGCCTGTGGCGGAACTTACCAGACCTGTATCTGCGCTTTTCCCTTCATCGCCAGGAAGCAGGGCCTCGTGACCGTCACGTCTGATCCCAGGAACGTGGAGCACATCCTCAAGCTCCGCTTCGATAATTATCCTAAAGGACCGACTTGGCAATCTGTGTTTCACGATTTGCTCGGCGATGGCATCTTCAATTCCGATGGCGACACATGGCTGTTCCAGCGCAAGACCGCCGCTCTGGAATTCACCACCAGAACTCTGCGCCAGGCCATGGCGCGCTGGGTGAGCCGAGCCATTAAGTACCGGTTTTGCCCCATCCTCGACACGGCGCAGCAGAACCAGAAGCCGGTCGATCTTCAAGACCTTTTGCTTCGCATGACTTTCGATAACATTTGTGGCTTGGCTTTCGGCAAGGATCCGCAAACTCTCTCTCCCGGTCTTCCTGAGAACGGCTTCGCCCTGGCCTTCGACCGAGCCACGGAAGCCACCCTGAAGCGCTTTATTTTGCCGGAGGCGATCTGGAAATCCAAGAAGTGGCTCCGGCTAGGTATGGAAGTGACCATGGCCCAAAGCCTCAAACACATTGATCAGTACTTGTCCGGAATCATCAACACGAGGAAGCTCGAGTTAACAAGTAAGCAGAATGGTGAGAATGGGACCACCGTCCCTCACGACGA